CATCATCCCTGAAGCTGGCCCATCACAGATGTGCTCCTTGATGAACTTCTCAAAGAGTTTCCCTAGGATTGAGGTAAGACTGACAGGCCTCAGTTGCCCGGGTCCTCCCTCCCTCCTCATGAAGACTCATAAAGAAGGTAACCCTGGTAGACCAGGGTTCATAAGCTGGCTGGACACTACGAACTAAGGACTGAACAGACTATTGACTTCAAGGTCTGCTATAATACTCCTGTTAATCTTTCTTTATGCCATGGGTGATAATGACCCTTCTCCCTTTTGAAAGGTCTTAATTTTTCCACTAATCAAGCTATCTTTTCTTTTGTGCTAACTACTCCTGTGAATTTCTCTCTCCTCTAATTTCACAGCCCTATAAACTATCTTTAGTCCCTGGTATGCCTGCTTTGCCTCAGACTTGAATGCACTGCATTCAAAAACTTGTCTAAGTCTTTCCTTATGATGCAGTTGGTCCAATAGAAGACATGACCCACAAAAATTCATGCTCTTATTTATTTCTTTGACCATCACAGCTATAACATAACTCCAACACTAACAACATTTTGTTTTATTTTTGAAAGGTCTTGACAGTAACTTCCTTCATATCACCATTTTAAGATCTCAATTTAATTTTTTACAGTTAAGGAAACATTTTTTCAAGCCAACAGTAGAATGTTTTTTATTTAATTTAATCATTAAATTAACACTTTTGGTTGCAACCACATCTGCTAGAAGTGTGAATAAATTCTGGAAGAATGACTGTTTACTATTTTGTCCTTAAAAATAGTAGTTACATTGACATCCTGAATTTTTTCATAAGTAAATCATAGATGTTTATATTAATCAAGTAAACATTTCCTAAGCCTAATGCACAACAGGGAGAGGCCAAATTGCACTTATTAGATGTAGACAGAATTTGGCTTATGAGGGAGTCAAGACAAGGAGTTCAGACATTATCCAAATCTACTTATCTTTTCTACAAAAAATAAATAAAAACCTGTATCTCCTCAAATACTACCTGGATGGGTTAAAGCCTGTATACAAAAGACCTACATTTAACTGCTGTCCCTTTCCTTCAAAGGATAAAATACCAGTGTACTAGATCAAAAGTAACCGAAATAGAAGCCATACATTCATTCCAGTGATACGAGACTATAGAGTTGCCATATGGCACGCACAGCTCATACGTTTTTACAAAACCTTCCTCGCCAGCTATAGCCTCTGGATCTGATGCTGAATTTGGCAAGGCTTTCCTTCAGTCACTTTTAAACTAAGGCTCCATGTTCTGCTTTCTTTTATGGGTCTACCACATGTCAGTTTATCCCATGGGTTGGAATATGAATAGGGAACTTGAGGGGTAAATAGAGGTTACTTTCCTGTAAAAAGTTCTTAGCAGTGAACTCTGCAGAGCCATACTTCTTGCTGGGCTTTCTTTCATGTTTGGACCTGACTGACAAGGAACTGAGGTGACTAGAACAGCATACCTTTCTTTAGAGCCTCTTCCCTAGAAATTTCAGGAACAGTTGGGATAGAGGGCACCCAGATAGGGTGTGGAAAGTTCTGTCATCTTAGAGGTTGTTGGTTGTAGCCATGTTGGTCGAAGACATAAGCAGACAAGGTTCTTTAGGTAACTGTGATATCTTTTACTAGACCAACTAAATAGTTGGAGAAATTGTTCTTTGCAAGCTTTTAAGTACAAACACCCTTCTTCAGGCACTGTGCCTTCAGACCACAGTGCCTGAAGAAGGGTGTTTGTACCCGAAAGCTTGCAAAGAATAATTTCTCCAACTATTTAGTTGGTCTAGTAAAAGATATCACAGTTACCTAAAGAACCTTGTCTGTCATCATAGATGCATTCAGAAGGCCTGTTCTTTTAAGTAGAAATATCACAGAGTTTATTTCAAAGAGCTCAAAACAATATATCATTATCTGTGGTCTTTACCTTTTTTAAACCACAGTCATTGCATTGCTGTGGTATCAGAACTTCTAGTGTGCTTAATGCCTAACCCTGAATGTATTCATTACATACTTTCTTAGATGTGGTTCACAAGATTGACACTGCCTTGGGCTCCATTTTCACAAAATTGAGTTTCTAGTCCAATTGTTTTGATAAAAGCAAGAGAAGGAGATGAGTTTTATGGTAGAGCCACTTGATGGGGATCATGGATCAAGCTTGAATTTCCCATGGGCTCTTTTTGTGATTTCGAGTATGTCACAACTTCCCTCTTCCTCACTTCCCCAAGTGGAAAATGGCAATAAGATTTCCTTTCTCCAACTGTAAATAGACCACTGATTTTCAACCAGGGTGCTGCTGGGTGCCATGCAATGTTAATACTTAAGTATGCAATTGTGATTCACATGATGAACCTAGAGATTTCAAGTAGGAATCCATAATGTTAAAAATGTTCTGACCTGTTGTGGTCTTTCTGAGTTCTCTGCAACAGAAAATGTATCCATTATTTTTCCGTAGTAAAAATAAGTGAATACTAAGAGCTGGCATTTTTTGAGCAATGCCTCAAGGCTAAAAAAGTCACTGAGTTAGACTATAAGCTCTTCGGGGAAGGCATTATGTCTCCTACTTTGTATGTATAGTACAGGGCAAAGGCACTGTTATCCCATGTGGGACCTTTACATACTGTCACAGGGCACTTAGGTGCTTGCTCCCAGAAGAGCAGAAAGTGTCTGGGGAGAACCCAAAGAGCCAGACAGGAGCCCAGGTGCAGGTTACCATGGCAACCAGCTAATGAGGAAATTAGCCTGCACTTGCACCTGGTCAGTTGGCCGGAAGGGGCAGGGCCCTGGGCCTATATAAACCCCACGACGGGGACTAGGGAGGTCAGTTCTCTGCTGGTGACCAAGGGAGAAGAAGCCCTTCTATAGTAAGTGAAGGGAAGAGGCCTGACTAAGTTCTGCTCTGGGTAATATAAAGGGACTGAGCACACCTTATGTAGCTTGTGTTATGTTATAGCCCAGGGGCTTATGTTTGGTTGTTGTTTTATAACACTGGTGGTTTGGATGAAGCTATTTGGGGAAGGAGGAGGCCTCATTGGGGGCTCACTGCAGCATGGGGAACCTGGCACCAGGGAGGGTGCAGCATTTGAGGCACACTGAGCCTGGTGCCAGAGAGGGCGTAGCAACAAGGGCTGTGGAGAGCCCAGTAAGGACAAGGGGCCAAATTATAACAAAGCCTAGGCAAGACAACACCAGTGCCATCTGCGAGGCTTGGGGTGTGGTAAAGGGGCAGTTGGAGCCACATATATAGCCCATAAGGCTGGGGACCCATGGGGTCCCGGTGAAGTCCATTGGGACTGTGTCCGACCGGACATGAAGGCAGCCTCCCTACATTACTTTTGCATCAAGACGTGCTGGGTGAGAAAAGAGGGTGCCCATCAGGCTAAATTGGCATGGTCAAGGGGCCTTAGGAGATCATGGCCGTCCTTAAGGACTCCACCCTGTGACACATACTAACACAACACAAAAAATGCTAACAAAATGTTAAGGGTGAATACATTTATCTACTAACAGGCATTAAATGAAACCTAATATGAAATGCATTTAAGACACATGGTAAAACCAGTGAGGAGCTCATAAATCCAAGTGTCCTAATAAAATTGCCACCAGAAGTACAAAATAGGAAGAAGGGGGTAGAATATAGAAAACTATGAGGGATGAAATTAGCAGAGTTCTTGTATATGCATTAATGGAGGCATATTCAACAGAAACAAGGATGGGTTCAACAGATGTCCCTGTATAGCAAAACACTGCTACTGATATGGTAAATATAATTGTATTGTTGGTCTACTGACTAATTAAAAACCTGGTGATCTTTGTTTTTGTTTCTTTCAGCTGCAGAATGCTGTTTTGGAAAACTAAGTAGTAATTCTGATATTTATTCCACATGTATATTTTAAAATGTCTATCACTTTGAACATATTTAACATATCTAGGATACCTTACTTTTAAATTCTGAACAAGTTTCTTGATATTCTTGCCCCAAAGCCTACTTTTGATTATCTGGCACTACCAAATACTATGCTAGGACATTTCTCTTTTACTTTGTGTCTTGTAAATAAATCTGATAGTATTAGATCTGATGAAATTCCTCTAGTGATCTGAGAGGGGATTCCAATTGCCTGCTGTAGTGTTTGTGTGAGAGCATGAGTGAGAGAGGGAAGCCAGGTACAGACATTACATTTTTACCAGTATAAGTGATTGGAAGCCAGTCTATACCCATAACAGAACAGAAGTTTGGCGCACACAGACTCAGTTAAAAATGGCAGATCCCAGTCTAATACTTGTGTCCCCCCACCAAAGAGTGAATGAGTGTTCTGTTTGCTACTAATCTAAACTATGCTGCTTATAGAAAATTGTAATTTAGACTGATTCTACCTTGGGCTTTTTGAAAGTATGTACGTAGTGCACAAGAGAGAGATATGTGGGCATTGGCCAAGAGAATCATCACCATCAGTAAGGACCAGAACTGCCACCTCCCTGCTGGGCCCACTTTGGGCCCTGGGGGAGGCTCACCTGGGCCTAGAGTGAGTGAAGATTTAGTTAG